TTTTTTTTGAGGGTTGGTGGAATATGTTGCAATAGGGTCTCCCTATGTAGAGTTAGGCTGGTCTTGAACTTATATTTTCTTTCTTTCTTTCTTTCTTTTCTTTTTTTGTGGAATCAGGGATTGAACTCAGACCCTTGTGCTTGCCAGGGAAGTGCTTATTCTACTGAGCCATCTCCCCGGCCCCTTGAACTTATATCTTCAAGCTAGCTTTGAACTCACAGCAATCACCCTGCCTTGGCCTCCCAAGTATTGCGATTACAGGCATGAGCCCCACATCTCACTCCTTTGTTCCTCTCATTCATCCGTGTGGTTTGGTGGTTTTCTGTATTGAGAGGGTTGGGTTCTTTTTCATGTATCTGTGCTATTATTCTACTGTTGAATTTTATATTTTCATGATGGCAGTTACCATCTTTACATTTCTAGTATAGGACTCCATTGAGCATTTCTTTAAATCTGGTGAAATAACTTTCCTCATTTTTTGTTGATCTTGTCTCTTTTTCCTCTTGTGAAATCACTAACCCTACAAGATTAGCTCCCTGACAGGCATTCTGGCCTCACTGAACCTTAACAGTTGTACTGTCTAAAGTCCAAACCTGTACACATTGGGTGACAGTCAATATACACTTTTATGGGGGCGGGACGGCAATTTGACTCATAACAATGACATGAAGCATCTTCTGGTGGGAATTTGTGTACCTACTATGAACATACGCTTACCCAAGTCCCCTGCTCAATCTTTTTTCCTTTGCTTATTTTAAAATGGGATTGTTGAGTTGTAAGAATTCTTTATATATTCGATGTCCAGACCTTTTATCAAATACATGATACACAAATATTTTCTCCCAGTCTTTTATTTCCTGATGGTGTTCATGAATGTAACTAAGTATTTTACATTCATGAAATTTTATTTATTTTTTCTTTCATTGCCATATCGAAGAAAACATTGCCTAATTCAAAGCTATGGAGAGTTTTGTTCTTGTTTTGTTCAGGCCTATTGCCCATTTTTGGATAATGTTTGCATATAATGTGAGATATTCCTTTTCTTATAACCCCCAAGAACATCATAGCTTGAAAATGTTCTTTACTAAGTTATACATGGAAAAACTGATAAAGACATTTTTTGTTTGTTGGTTGCTTGCTGTTCTTGGGGATTTAAAAAAAAAATCAGTGAATCATTGCAGACGTGAGAGATGTACCTCACTTATATTAAGTTTCTTCAGTTTGTTTTGTTGAATTTTTTTATGAGCAGAATATATTTATTGAGGGGAAGAAAGCTCCTGTCCAGGAGTGGGACAGGAGGGGAGCCCCAAGCAGGTTGTCTCCCCTGTTTTGTTGAATTTTAACAAAAAATATTTTTAACTTTAAAATCCAGAGAAATGTAAGCTTCACAGAAATGACTGTCTATATCAGATGAAAGAACACTTTTAGAAAGATTATGAATAATATCTTGATTACAAATAAAATTGTGGTCTCACCTTTTTAGCTCAAAATTGGCCAGGAGTACATATCATTTTTCAGTTTGATTAACAGCAGAGAAACTAATTAGAGAGGAAAGAGATTAGCAAATCATTCAAGATGTCAAGTGTAGTCATAGTGCCATTTTGTCACAGATAATATAGGACAGCTCAAGTGACAGGTGCACATAAGAAATAGGAACTGAGAATACCTGGGTACTGAAGAGCATAGGTAATGTTTTTACATGAGTATTATTTGATTAGATTTGATTTTCTTCCCCTGAACTGCCATACTATTGAATGTGCCTTTGATTCCTTGACATGCTAGGATTGTGTACGGGTTTTCTTTTTGCTTTGCAGGACGTCCAGAACCAAAAATTAAAGACGAGTGTGTGGTACCGTGAGGTAAATGATTATGTTTGCTTTTGGGCAATGCAGATTTTTCTGATCTGGGTCTGCTTCAAAATATGATTATTCTAAAAAAAATATGATTATTCTAAGGAACAGATCTTGTCTTTGCATTTATAGTCCCTTGACTGAGCAGCAGATCTGGTCTGTTAGAATCCACGCGGGATGTGTTCTGTGTGGGGCTACCACCTTAAGGCTCTGGAGAGGAAGTTCTCCCCCCTAAAGGATAGTACCCGGGGACTGATACGCTGTATCACTAATCTAAACCCCTTCTCAGTTCTTTAGTGAGACTGACTTCATTCTGTTTTGATAAATTTCTTTGTTCGCTCCTCCTAACAGGTTTGGTATGATGAGTTTTTATCCTGGAACTCCAGCCTGTTTGATGAGATCAGAGAGATCTCCCTACCTCTCAGCGCCATCTGGGCCCCTGACATCATCATCAATGAGTTGTAAGTACGCTGGGCGTGTTTCTGTGGGCTTTAGACTGCTTAAGATCAGACCACTTGATTCTTCCTCTCAGTCATTGTTGGGTTTTTTTCCTGTTTCTCAAGTTAGAAAAGAGCATGTTGTTGGGGACTATTCAGGTGAGAAATACCAAGAGTTGACATCATTTAAGATACAGATTTGATTACTGTACTCAAGTCACTCCTTATGTCCATAGTGTAACAGTAGCAGATGAATAAACCCGTGAGACTATCCTGACATCTTTCTTTGCCAGGGTAACTCATCTCATGGGTAGTGCAATGCTCATTGACTGCTACCCTATTCCTACGCCTTGCAGTCACTAGCACCTTAAAGTCAGTTCTGTCTATGTTTTGCAATAACTAACAGCCTCTTTGTAACAACTTCTCCTGTGTCTCATACAGTGTGGACAATGAACGGTCTCCCGACCTTCCCTATGTTTATGTGAACTCATCTGGGACCATCAAGAACTGTAAGCCTATCCAGGTGGTGTCTGCTTGCAGCCTGCAGACATATGCCTTTCCATTTGACATCCAGAATTGCAGCCTAACCTTCAACAGCGTTCTGCACACAGGTAAACGGAGACATACAGTACACTAGTTGGAAACCACCTGTGCTGGAGTGGCATATATGTCCTCTCAGAATTGAATTATAAAGTAAGCAAATTATCATTTCATGATTACTTTTAGGGTTTTTTTTTTTTTTTATGTGCAGAGTCTCATTATGCAGCTCAGACTTACAGTGACCCTCCTGTTTTCAGCCTCCCCAGCACTGGGATTACAGGTGTGCACCACCACACCTGGACTCGGTGGCTGGCTCAGCATGTCCAGGGGCGGGGCTGGCATGGCATGTGGTGCCAGGGATTGAACCCCGGTCCCTAGCTTGCCTAAGCAGGCAGTCTGCTGAGCTATCTCGCTGGCCCTTCATGTTTACTTT